AACCGCTGAACTGCAGATCACAGTCAGCTAAAGTGGCCTGCAGTACTGCACCCTAACCACTGCGCCACCTCGGCTCTGTATTCCCTTTGTTGGGTATAAGGTACACCTATATTTCCCCAACTTCAGTGATGATGACAAACATACATTTCCTCATATGAACATGTCATCGTTTCCTGAAGACAATCATTTTCTCATTTAAAAAAAAAAGATATGTTTGCCCTTTACATAAGTCCCTCTGGTTCAGCACCGACTCCCTGGCCTTCTTTCCCAGAAGATCTGCCTTTTTAGAGTACAGTACAGGTGAAGTATCCATTCGAACACAGGACAACTAATTACACCATAGTTGTCCATTTTCTGCGGTTGCAGTTGGTGGAGGTTTAAAAAGCAGAAATATGACCCAATGTATTCCGCATGCAATTTTGGCATCTGGAATTGTATCAAAGTGCTACAGAAAAATGACTTCCCGGAACGATGGTCCTAATACTACCCATAATACTACCGCTTTCACTGAATAGACTGGAAAAGCAATTTCTTCTGGGCGCAAGCAGTGGCGGATTAAGGCTCACTGGTGCCCTAAGCACTGACAAATCTTGGTGCCCCTCCTGTGTACATCCTGTAGAAATCTTCATCGGTTTTTTTCTTTCTTTCTCAACTTTGTGGTGCCCCCTTTGGGCCTGGTGCCCTAAGCAGGTGCTTAGTCTGCTTAATGGTTAATACATCACTGGGTGCAAGTCGCCTTCCTTGGAGGGGGTATGATAAAAGACACCCAGAGTTGTTGGATACAAAATGGGCAAGAAATACATTTTTTAAAAATAAACAAAGAAATAAATTTATCAATGAGTTTAGGGTAATTGATTTTTTTAGTATATTTGGTTGACACTTGCTCTGAGGACTTAAACTTTATCCCAAGAAATTGGCAAGTAAAAGACAAAATCAGGTATGCAAATCCCTTCAGCATGTTATGATTACATAGCCTCCAGATTCTCCCGCCATGTAATACAATCAGAAGGCATCACCTAAAGATGTTCTTAAAATATGGACCCACATTCTGCTGCATTTGCCATCTTTTTCTCTCTCTCTTTTTTCCCCCTTTTGCAGCACAGCTGAATTTTCCTTCTGCTAATAGAAGGCAGAACATTGTTCTATCCAGCTGAGCCTGCCTTGCCTCCGGAGACCTCTGACTTTTCCTTCTTTTCTTCTTGTTCCAGCAAAGAAAACAGGCCCTTTGGTGCCACCCATATTCTAAGAACGTTTCTTCTTCTTTTTTTTGCATGGATTACAAGGGGCTTGAAACTCAGAAATATGGTAACTTCTACATTCTTAAATTCCTTTTTTGTTTTATTTCTATTGTGCTAAACGTGCATCTGGATACAGTTATAAACCATGTTAGAATGATTCAAACAGCATGTCTACATGTGAACAGGCAAAATCTGTTTAGGTATTTAGAGCTCTTCTCCAACAAGGGTATCTGAAAAACCTCAAAACTAATGTATAACATGCATATTATTAGCACTACAGTGAGTTTCTAGAAAGATTTTTTTTTAGGCTGATCCAGAACAATTTGCAGTGAAACGCACAGACATACACACAAAGCACAAAGGCAAAGCGAACTATAAGCACAGCTCACATTCTGCTTG